AATTTTTGTCTCATGTGCCATTATGTTACAATTTTTCATGTTTTTGTTTATGTTATTTTGTATAATATGACATTTTTTAATAAAATATGCATATTTATGTATAAAGTTATATAGGTAGTAGGCTAGCCTAACGGGAGATTTACGGGAAATACAAATTTTTATGTGAGGGGTCTAACTATTAGGCAGGCGAGTCATATGTCATATTTTATTAAGACAAAACTATGTGAGGGTCTAACTATTAGGCAGGAGGTCATCTCTCATATTTTATTAACACAAAATGCATACTTATGTTGTTTGTTAGAGTGGTAATGAATATTTGTTGCTTGGTGATATTTTTATGTGGCAACCCTAAAACAATCTTGTACATGACTCATGATCTTTGAATTTGTGAAGAACTATTGACAATGTATTGAAATATTTTAACTCATTTTGGCCTTTGTCACTTCATATATAGGTGATAAGTACTCAATGGATTGGGACAAAGCTTGGTCGAGCTTCAAAAAGCAAGGAAAAAAGACTTTGTTCTCGAATTTCTCGCCCGACAAATACGTGAGTTGGAACCCAAAACGTTCCGAGTACCCATTGTCAGAAGAAATCGACCCAATCAAAAGAACCGAGAGGTCGAATCTTATGTTATGGACCAGCCCACGGTTCACGCTAGCTGGGGCAATTGTAATAGTTAGTTTTCTTTTACTCTACACAATACTAGCCCCTATTAAGTGAGTTCATATTGCGTACACCTATTGATGAACAATGGATCTTATATGTTCCGATTGCTGTAAATTTGTCCATGGTCATGTTGTAACAAGCTTGAAAAATGGAATACATTGCTTTCCTCCACTATTTCATCAAATTTATGAAATGTAAATGTACGCATTTTGTCGGATCTTGCAACTCGGTAGTAACGACTAAGGTGATGTAACAAAGTGTATTTGTCCCATGTGAAATTCCAATCCAAAAGTGAATAACATGTAGCATTTTGAAATCGCGCATAAGAATTTGTGATAACCGAAATAACAACAAAGATAATAACAGTCTCATTCGACTTTATTGGGTACCTGATGAAACTCCCACCCAAATCCAGAAGTAAAGGACAATAACCCATTTTGCACAGCTGAGAATCATAAAAGACTTTGCTATAAAAATACCACCACTGCCACTGGGCATAAAAAGTCCTCTCACCATCGAAAGCTGACATCAAGAAGAGGGCTATCCTATGCAATTTACCAATACTTTCAAAGCACAAACACCACCCTGAGTCAAAAATGTGCTGAGATTTTGAATCCAAGCCATAACCATTCACACGTTGCCACCTGGCTCTTTGATTTGTAGTGTCGTTCTAGACAGGCTGGCTTCTAGCTCGTTTAACTCATCAATGTCGAGATCATCGTCATCGTCATCATCGTCATCATCATCATTGGAATTACATTCAGCATCACGTACAGTTGATGTAGAAGAACTTGGTCGATCGAGTGATGGATCTTTATTGACCTGAATAGATGAGAGTGTGCAGCAAATTAACTGCTAGTGCAATCAGACTATCCATGATTCTTCAAAATTTGTGTGCTTTCCCTATGAAGATAGGGATAAAATTAATTCGAAGTTGTGTCATGTGACCAGTTTTTTCATAAATGATTTGGTCACATTAGGCTATTTTCAGTCTTAACCAGGAATTTGATTAGTTGGGGAACACTGTTCTTTAAAAGATTCTAAACTCTCCTATAATGGTAAATATTCTTAACCTTAATCAAACCTCAAGCTATAAGACTTTTCTACAAGAGAAAAAGAATTGCATTCTATCATTTTTGGTCACATGTAATTCTTAAACTAAAATAGAGTGAAAGTTACAAAAATTATAGGAGTTATATAAATAGAGTGAAAAAACTAAAGTGCCCCGATATAAAAATTAGCAGTTATATAAAAAGCATGCCTTACGCTTAGTTGAAGCCAAATTATTTCAGAGGAAAGAAACTCATCAAATCACTGGTAATATTTTATGGGTTTATTGAGAAACGATTACCTTTTGATCAACATCTGGTTCTTCTTCTCTTTGATATTTATCATAAGCTTCAGCATCATCAACAAACAAGCTGGCGTCTGATAGAAACAGCTCACGACCACTGAGGGAAAAAAAAAACAATAATCACTTTTTGTACAAAACCCCTTCAAGTAAAAGTACGAAAATTTTTCATTCAAGATTTTACTTGCCTCATGCGGTCGTTCTTAGCTCTCTCAGCCCTCTGTGCAGCCAGGCCAGCTTCCCTCTCCTCCATCTTTTTCTTCCTCCATTGCATGAATAACTCAGGAGTCATAGGCGTTGTGGTAGTCACCTTTGCACGCTGTAAGTTAAATTTAAAAAAAAATAAAAAAAAAATGAATAAATGCATTTGGTTGGAAGAATGTAGGGAAAAGTTGCATTGTAGCTATAGCATTACCTGGTTTTCTATCTCCTCCTCGATGGATATCTTCTCACTTTCCTCCTCTAGAAGAGCTTTCATCTGAGATTTTAAAACATATCCAGGGGGAAGAGCATGTCTGTAGTGACATTCTTTGCCACCATTTGGACAGACCCAGAACCAACCGTACTGCTTCTTCTCAACTGCTTCCAGAAAGTATTTACACACCTGCAAGAAGATGAGAAGTAAGAGAAATATCCAAATGTTATTGCAAATAACAAAAAGACAAAACGGGCATAAGCGTACATCACAAAGCCAACCATAACAGAAAGGATGGCTAAAACATGAGAAAATGACCCTGACTCACATTTGATAGAACTAAAACAAGCAAAATAATTTCTTTTATCAATCTCAAAAACATTGTTTCAATACCATACAGAAAAATTCATAAGTTCTGCCTATTTAGTTAGTTTGACCTTCCCTTCCCCAGATATGCTGATAACTTTGCGCACATTTACTGTTGCAGCAACATCAGCCCTAAATTCAGGATAGTGAACCTCGAATTTACGCATTTCTTCAATTTCATTTTGTTTTTTAAACAAGGCTCCTACTAAGCATATCATCACCTTGCAGTGACTGATGAAATATTCATGTGTGAAGTAGAATCTCATGAAAGAACAATTGAGTAGCAAATTGTGGAAGTAATGCTCTCATCATACCCAAACCCAGGAGATAGCTTAATAACATAGCCAGCAGATGAAATATGTCTTACTATATCAGTAGGCTTGTTCTTGTTGTACTCATCGCTCTTGGACGCAACAACTTTCTCCAATGTCTCTTGATCCCAATCCTCCATAGTTTCTTGTTCTTTTTCATTTGGATACAAAGCAATAGGTTCAGAAATACATAGGAAATATCAAACAGCAAACTACTACAGATATCGGAACTAAATAAAAACCGAGTAAAAGAAACTTCGAATATGAACCTTGATCACGCTTATCACTATAGATATCTATCTTCTCTCCTTTCCTCTGCACATTCAGGTCATGAGAAAATTTGCACTTAAACCCTTTCGCACATTGCCCAACCTTAAAATGCTCGCATACAATCGACTTTGGATCAACACCTGAAAACAATAGCATATTTAATACGATCGACTAGCTTAATTTTTCCCTACCCACCAACCAGAAAACTTCTTTACATCACTACTCTGAACCCACAGAAAAAAAAAAATTAAAAATGAAATCAAATACCAAACCACATACGAGTTGACACTAAGATACAACGTGAACATAGTGAATTCCCACTGCTAATTTTCAATCAAACCCCACCTCGTGATACATTTGCTAGATAGCACACATGATCCGAAACTAAAATACAACGTAATGTAGTAAATTTCCACGGGTAATATTCAATCAAAACCCACTTCATGATACATTTTTAAATAATTTAATAATAATAAACCACTTAAAATAATTTGGGAAAATTTACCAACAGGAACTTTAGGTTGTTTTACGGCAACTTTAAACAGCTCCTGTAGTTCCTTCTCTCTAGCCTTCTCCTCCTCTTTTTTCTTCTGTTAAACCCAAACAACAATCAAATTATCAATACAAACATTAAACGCAAACACAACTAACTACAGATAGACATAAATTACAAAAATAAAATAGAAAATAAACGCGCTCGACCTGGGCATTGAGCTTGCTCGGGTCGGCTTTGGGCTGCACCGACTGCTTGAGCGACTGTACGTATTTCTGAACATTCTTCGACTTGTTCTTGTTCTTCAATCCAAATGTTTTGTCCTCGACTACCTTCTGCTTCTTCGCTAAATCCGCCTTCGATTGCTGCTTGGGAGGCATTTTTTCCTCCTTTTTCAGATCTGTAGATCAGAAATTTCCTGTGAACAATCGGTGATCGGATGGGAATTTTCCGGCGCCGGGAAAAAAAGTGCGGCCGGTGGCGGAGGAGGAGCAGCGTGAGGGAGGTGATTTGGGGGTTGCGACGAGGGTTCTCAATTGGTTTCGAGAAGCTACGGTGGTATATTGAAGTTACGCTATCACCCTCGTGGGCTTTTCTTGTTGGGGGTAAAGTTAGCCTGTTTATGGCTTGGAGTATTGGGTTGGGCCTTAAAAAATGTTCATTTACATGTTAGTGTCAAAGTGTATCATCAAAACTATTATAGTACAATTCTAAAAACGAATTTTATCATCCACAAATGCATTCTCAAAGAACACCACAATTATAAGTATCAAAGCATGGTTACATTCCAAAGAAACTAGAAACACGTCTAAAGGTCACCAAGGTTGAATGAAGCTCCAATTACCACCAGGGGCGGACGCAGGCTTTAAAGACAGCGGGGGCACAACTACAGTCAACGTTGAACGACGTAGGTCAACGGTCAAATCAATATTTAAGAAATTAAAAAAATAAAAATATAAATCTTGACCAGATACCTTGTTTCTTATTTAATAGCTAGAGTTGAGTCTCACATTCTCATTTTATGAATAGAGACACATTTGATCCAATCCCAATATAGTATATACATTTATGTATAATATTTGTTTTTCTGTGTATTTTGGAAGGAAAAAGGAAATAAACAAGAGTTGAGTATATCACAAGTATAAATTCCACAACTTAAAAAATAACATACTATTGAATATTAAATAATTCTAAACATTTTCTTTTTATTCTTTTATATTGAAATAATTTTGCATGATAATTAATAACATGTATTTTTTATGTCAATATAATAATATATTTATACATATAACATATATATATATATATATACTATGTATTACAAAAAAATTCTACAGGGGCCCGTGCCCCTACGGGCCCCTATGTAAGTCCGCCACTGATTACCACTCACAAATTTTGAATCCAACACAAGCTATTGAGTGACAAAACCATAAAAAATCAATCAACACACGCTCTCCTCAAAATCAAGCCTATTGTTTTTCTTCACAAAAAAACTAGTAAACTGTCAACACACGCCCTCCTCAAACCAAGCCTATTGTCTTTCTCCACGAAAAAACAGTAAATTATAATTAACAAGCTGATCATGCACTCACAACTCAAGGTTAATCGTGTCATCTAAAACTTCAACAGCAAATGAACCTCCATCAAATAGTGAAATCATATGAGCCCAATGTATGTATCTCGACCTTCTACTCCAACCTCACCATTGATTCAACTCCAGCCCTCGTCTTCATGAAATCCTCCTTCAGTAGATCCAGAATCGTGATGATATCCGTCTCAGTTATCGATCATTGTTATAAAATCTTGTACTTGCCCTCATCATTCGGTCTAATCTCAAGCAATTTATGTAGGCGTCACCAAATTCGACTCCTGCAACATGTTATTCAACCTACAACCCTGTATGGACAAATTATTGAGCTCTTACGGGTCATTGTCGACTTAAGGCCAATACTAGAAGCTCCAATTCCATTTTTTAGTTTGCAGAGGAATAATTGTGTGGCAACGTCCAACTGGCCTCCGGTGGTTACAATTACATGGGGAAAAATCAATTATATAACTCGTGATCAACTCGTATTGGCGATGTTGGGGAGGGATGCTTTCATGTCAATCCCCATTTAGGTGCAGTCGATCATGCGCCATTGTTGCTGAAAATTAGTCGACCAACCACAACGCCTTTCTCCACTATGTCCATATTTAGGTTGAATATCGTGTAGTCTAGGATGCATGAGATGTCATTGAGGATATTGAGACTGGATGGAATAGATTGATGTTGGTGTAGAAGACATCGCGTTTGGTAACATGGATGTCTCGAGGTAGAGCTGGAGAATGAGGATGACGATGGTAAATATGAGATGGTCAAAAATTGTTATAATATAAGACGAACAAGTCTGATGAGTCACATTTGAAAAAAAAAAAAAGTAAAAATGTAAGTTTTAAACACTATTCAAAATTTATATATAAAACTTATATTGTTTATTATAATATATTTAATTAACACAATGTATATATGGTAATTCTACAAGAATCATTACTAAACAATCAACTAGTATTCGATCCTGTGCACATGCACAATCGGAAACAAAACTTTATATATTATATGTACATATATGATATTTAAAAATTTAAATCAGATAAAGTGTGTATATATTTTCAATTTTTAACTATATGTAAATGTATAATATAAATATAAACTATATAACTTTTGTAAAAATAAATTTATTTTTGTTATTGTATAACTATAATACAAAATAGGAATATTATATGTGATATAATTTAATATTGTATATTTAGAGAATTTTAAATTGTGTAAAGCCGTTACAGAAGTAAAAATTAATAATAGTAATAAGGTTTTACTTGTGTAACTGTCATTTGAATGCTAGTCATAAAGTTTTTTATTAAATGAAGTCCTATTTTTATTATTTGTTGGCTGAATAAATTTATTGAAGTTTGCCAGCAATTATATATATATGGCATGATTGGTAGGAAGGAATGACATGAGAATGGAAAAACCATTCCCTTACTCATTCCTTATCCCATGATTGGTATATTTTTTGGGAAGGAATAACCATTCTAATGGGAATGGCAAAACCCATCTCCATGGGATTAGCCATTCCATAGTAAATGGAAGGTTTTCTCATTCTCATGTGTGTAGGAATCAATTTTTTAAAAAATAAAATTAACAAATAATAATAAAAAATAAATATATATTATATATTATAAATCATGATGAAAGTATATTAAATAAAATTATTTTAAAAAAAATTCAAATAAAAAAATTGAAAACTTTCTTTTATTTATTTTTTAATTAGTATATTAAATACTTATATAAAAATAAAACTAAAAAAAGCATTTATATATAATTTAAAAATATATTATTTTATTTTTATATATTATTAAAAATATATTATTTTAAAAATATAATATTGAAAAATATTAAAAATATATATTTTTAATATTATATTACTTTTTATTTTTACATATTATTAAAATATATTATTTTAAAAATTAAAATTCAAATAAAAAATTAAAAACTTACATTTATTTACTGTTTAATTAAAAAATAAAATATATATTATTAAAAATATATTACTTTTTATTTTTCAGTATTATTAAAGATATATTATTTTTTATATAATTTAAAAATATATTATTTTATTTTTATATATTATTAAATTAATTTTTATATTATTAAACAATATGTTATTTTATTTTTATATAATATTAAAAATATATTATTTTATTTTTATATATTATTAAGAAGCATTTATATATAATTTATTAAAAGTATATTATTTTTAAAAAAAGCTTTTATTTATTTTTATAATAAAAAATGATAATGTCATCCTATTCCAGTCTTATTCCTTCTGCATACCAAACGCATCAATGACAAAACATGTTTCATTTCATTCCTATAATCATTCCATTCTTCAACTCATTCCATTCCTATGAAATTCCATTCCATCATACCAATCATGCCAATATATATATATATGTGTGTGTGTGTGTGTGTAGATAACAACTAATTAACACGGGTATAACACAAGTTGAGCGGGGTTTAAGCTCATGATACTCTAGTTCGACACTTATAAAAAGTCGAGTCTAGCTAGTTAACTTAACTGACCTACAATTGAGTTTCAGTCCAACTCATTTATCAATATTAAGAACTTGAATTTTATCGAGTCCAATTATAAAAAAGTTACATAAAAAAACTAATCTAACTCATTAACTATATGAACTTATAAATCGAATTCACAAGCAATTCATTTCATTTGATAGTGCTAGGTTAGGGCTGCAAAAGAACCGAGCCGAGTCGAGCATTGGCCTTATCGAGCAGAATTGATTTTTTTTTAGCTGCTCGAGCTCGACTCGATAAAAAATTACTATAGCTCGAGCTCGACTCGAAATCAAAATGTTTGAGTTCGGCTCGAAAATTTTTAAGTGGAAGAGTAAAATTACCATTACGCACCTATGCTAAATGAAATGCTATGGAGCCAATGGTTGGCTCTTTTATGGAGCCAACTGTTTGTAGTATTTTTGGGCATGTGGTAACCGAGCTACCCGACTCGGGTCGTTCTGAAAGGAAGGCTGTTCGGAGCTTCGTTTACTACCTAGTCGTCAAAGTCACATAACCAAAAAGAAGGTCCTAAACATTCTACTCGCTTGGTTGTGGGTGATTTGCACGCAATTACACTAAAAAACTAGAGCAAATGATGAAAATGCAAATATAGAGAGAAGAATCGAAACTTTGGTCTACCGGAATCTTCATGACTAAAGAAAAAGAAAAATAAACAAGAGAAAACATACGAGCATAGTGATCCTAGGTCATCTAATACGAGCCTTCAACACTAGATCATCACGCTTTTAGCAAAGTCGAGATCTCTACACAAGATAAGCACATATAGATTCCTAACACACGTAAGCAAGTAATAAAAATAAAGAAAAACCAAGAAACGAGCATAAACACACAATTCAAAAGACAAAGTCGAAGTAGTAAGGCCTAAGCAAGGTACCTATTCTCCCATAGCATGCTCGGGCGAAAATAGTGAATAAAGCTCGAAACTTGAATGGAAATAAACTTGCCGGAATTTCGCCGGAAAAATAGTCATGAACCTCCCAACCAAAGCATAAAAAAGAAAGAAAAAGAAAAGAGGAGAGAGAAGAGAGAAAATGGAGAGGATTTCCCAAGGGTTGTTCCCAAAATTACAAAGCACAATGTCTTTATATAGCTACACCACAAACACACACTAAAAACACACACATTTAGTCAAAAATGACACAAACACTCTCGAGCTCGCCAAAATTTCCGCCAGGTCGCGAGTTGGCAGGGCACTGGGCGCACTCGCGAGGTCGCGGGCTGGTCCGCAGGGCGCGGGCGCTGGCAAGGCGCGGGGC